AAGAAAGATGATGCAATCTTCATTATGAAATATTTGCTTCCGTCTGAACATTATTAGCTTGTGATTTATTCAACTGGGTAAGAAATAAATATATAATGAATATGTTCGTATATAGAAGACAGCTATCGCATTTAGTTTATTTATTTGTTGGTGGATTTCATTGCGGCAACATAATTGTGCAATTAAAACTTCTTGGAATATTGTAATATGGATTTTTCAATTGAAGCCAGGAGACGACACGAGAGGAGGATTGGTGGTAGAGGGAAGAACGATCCATCTTCGATCGTCGTGCGTGTGTTTGTGTCTGTCTCTCTGCAAATGTTACATGTATTGGTCCAGAGCCATGCGAGATTTACGAGCCACTGTCTTTCTCAATGCAGCATTATCCAGTAGCAGAGAATACCCTATATAGTGCTTGTCCTCAAAATTTTTATCTCTCCCTCATACCTTGTATGTAGTTACCTTACGTGAGTCGAGATAGATTTATTGCCGTTCTACGTTTAGGTTATTTGTTGCTGTACTCTCGGCACCGCATTCATATTATATGCAAGAGAGCTTATTTATTTATTGAAAGCTGAAGAGATCCGAACCCGCTTTTGTTGCTCGCTTTTTCCTCCTTGTTTATGGTATTATTAACCAATCGCCGCTAATTACGGATTGCAATCGACCGCAAAGATGCTAAAAATAAATAAACTGCAGCAAAAGTATGAAGGAATATAGATAGAGAGAGAGGAGCAATCGAGAAGGATTGTGAACAAGGGGAAAAACAAGAAAGAAGACATGATACTGTGAGATTTTAATCATATCCAACTAATATGAAAGTAATTACTGAGCAAACTGGAACTACTTGCCACTACAAATTATACGCCTTGTAGCAATTACACTCACTATTTATTAAACTAATTTCCATTTTTATCCGAGACCTCACAAGATACAAATTTATTATACCAACACCAATTTGCATTTAATCTCTCTTTTATATTAACATACTAACTCCATAATGAATCATTTACATCGAAAGCACCTCTAACTACACGACTGAACTAGATTTTACTTCTGTATTGCCATCTCAGATTAAATATATATTTGCACAGTTTCTCAATATTACAACGCAGAAACAACCTTCTATCTGATTAATTATAATTACTAAATCACTGCGTTTTAAGTTCAATCTTTATGCGCTTTTTGAAATAATCCTGTTATTTTTCTATATTATTTACAAAAAAAATAAATATAATGGGAGAAATCATAATATAAAAGCCTCATAGCAATAATAAGATAATAGGTGTGGAAGTGCCTCAGGGATTAATAAAGAAAGTTTAGATTCAAGCAGGACATTGATACAATAAAGATATATGTTATTTAGAAAATATGTTCTAACATACTAACACAAATGTAGGAATGAAGGTTTTAATAGATATAATGAATATGCGGTAATTTACGTTAATAGCTTATTTTATTATATTATTATAACGAAAGAATAAACTAATTATTACGCTGATTTCCGTTTAGAATATTATAACAAACACTGATTGTATACTTTCTAGATCAATTAGCTTGGATTATCTAAGCATAATTAATCTAAATTTTAACTCTTCTCGTCACTGGATGAAAAACGTTAAATCTATTAAAGATATTTTAGTTAAAATTAAATATTTTTCATAAACATTACGTCAAGAATTGTCAATGACTTAATTTACAGAAATGAATAGTATACATTTATAAAATAAAAATTGTATAAAATATGGAGGAAATTAACCTATAAAATGTATGAGTTATTTTTTTAAAAATTTATAGTTTTTAATCAAATTTTCGTAAAGTATCAATCATATGATTGTAATTGGTAAAAGGAATATTGTATTTTATTTATTTATATTTGCCGCAAATTGGGTCAAAGAGATATCGAGAAATCTTTCCACCAAATGGGGATATTCACCATCATTTATAGATCTTAGTATTTTCAATGTAATAATAAATTTATCTGCATTTTCCTCTTATAAATTATCACATACAGCCACCTTAATTAACATTATTTGTGATAACTAAGTTTTGATGAAATGAAGTCCTCAATTTTAAGACCCATTTACCTTAAAAAAAACATATTTAATATAATATGGAAAGTAAATAAAAAAATCTATTTTATATTTGTATTTTGTATTCTTGTCAAAGTTGTATTTCCTCCAGCAGGAAATTCATATATTGGATCACAGAATATAGCATCATTGCTTCCGTAATCATTTCATTTATATAAAGCAATTGTCAATTAAAACATTTTGGAAAAATACATCAATAAAAACGCAATTGATAGTTTTTGGTAAATGCTCATTAAGAAATGTTAAAATAGAGTTTCGTGCAAAATATTGCCAGAAGTTATAGTAGAAGAAAATAATATCCAAATAATTAGAAATGAAGTAATCTAGATGGATTAATCAACAGGTTTCAAACAAGTTGAAGTGTATGTTGGAAATTTATTGAATCTAAAGGACAAAGAAATTGAAGACAAAATTGAAGATATTTCTGAGGAAATAATATTAACAACCAAAGATACAAAAAGATATCTAAATAACATTAAAAACATTTGACGGTTTATTTATTAGAAAAGTTCTTTGTTTAAAAAAGTTTTCATTATCTTTACGAAACTACGCATCCCCCGTTCTCGTCATTATTATTTTTACTACTGAAGAAGCAACGCATCATATTCGTTAATCGAGGTATGACTATATTATTAATGATATGTTTAATTATATACATAAAAGTACAATAATACTTTAAGGTCTAGGATAGAGAGATATAAAAACAAATAAACAAAATATACACAGTTGGTATTTGCAGAAATAGTAATCTTTATGCCTGCAGTTCCTAGAAAATGCAGCTAATAAGTTTATTTATATTATTACAATAAAAATCTGGAGTTTATAAAAAAAAATAAACTAATAATATTATGTAAATATGAGTAACTACAAATAAATCAAGTAGGAAATTAAAAATGTCTATTAATTTTATGATTATCATAGTCATATTTTTGGAATTGGTTTATATGTTAATGCATCAGTAATGAAATTTAGTGTTTGTCAACATTTAGATAACTGTTAAACGGAATTGCGATCGGTAATTTGTTGGGATGTATAGGAATGCGTTATTGGTAAGCAGTAACGATGTGTCCGTCGAGATGGTTCAATCCAAGTCCATCGTGAAGCATAACCACGCGGTCATAATAAGTTAATAAGCGGTATTGAGTGGCCGTCGGGGTGGTGAAAATGTGCTTAAAATGAAAATGAATTGGCATTGTTACGTTTTTGCGGTTCGCCCCATTTGGTGCAGCTCGGATATATGGTATATAAAATATAATTAGCCGCCGTCCGGTGGTTCAAAAACTGTTTCAATTAGTGGTAGCGACGAGTGGCCAAGAGGAATGAATGCCGGAATGCCATAATGCCATCGAGATGTAGCGAACGGTCATCGAATGGGTGGGACAGGGATGGAAAGCTCTCATCCTCCGACGATGGCTTCGTATGGCGATCTCCAAGGATAGAGAGAGAGAGAGTGAAAAGAAAAGGAATAACAGATATATATAAAAAAAGGGAACAAAGAAAGAGGCACCAGAACCAGAAAAGAAACTAATATAATATTCAATGATTAAATATCTTAAATCACAAACAGATAATGTGCAATTTACAAGCAGGTAAATGGCAGTCCGGTTAGTCCATATGCGGTCGGCGATATTTTTTTGCTGCAATCTACGTATTGCTCGTGACGTGCCAGCAAATTGTAACTAAATTGCGAACCTACATTCGCGAATATTACACCGGCTGCCATATAAGAAGGCCGTTTAAACGGAACTGTTTTGAATGAGAGAAGCCATCCGATCGTGGTTATGGTCCTCTAACGTCCACTGCGAATGTCCAACGACCACCAGCACTGATTATCTAATTGTGCGCCTCTAAAGGTATAATCGTCGCCGTGTAACTCGTCCAGGCTCCCAACATTTTCATATAAATTATCTCCAACGCGATACACTTTACTTGGATGGCCTTTACCCATCTCATCATTCTGATGCACGGCTGATAAGCCACTTGCTACCACTATCCACCACGCGATTGCACGCCAAAGGACAACACAAAAACTACTTCGTATTACTGTTTGCCTGGGAAGCATGTATGTACACGATGTAATGCTGAGCGTCGAAAAAGCCATTGCCTGCAAACAAACCTTACATACTAATCCCAACAATCCACCATCTTCCATCAATTATCTTCTTGTCCCACCACCGCATTGCACAGAATGCACATACATCAACTTCATAAAAATTAAACCATTAAACTATATCCAATTGCAGATAACATTTATATCATAATTTTGTAGAAATCATAATATATTATAAATTTCCTTTTTATTTAGCTAACATTTGTTTGCTAAAAAAACATGGTAAATAGTTGATTAAGTATGCAATAAATGATAAGAACAGTAATACTATTTATACAAAAATTATATAATTATATTAATTATACAATACTTAAGACAAACAAAATGTTTGAAATAAAAATAGAATGCTTTATATATTAACTAAGTAGCAACTAAACTAAAATAACATACTCTAAACTACTCTAATATATTAACATTACCTCACTAACTACGTCCTAATATGATTTAAGTTACTAGATAAAATAGCCACCCATACAATTTATTTTTACTATATATATTTACCAATTTACAAAAATAACCATTTATAACTAGAATTTAATTTATTCTGAATTTAAATTTTATATAAAACATAATCTAAATTATTCAAACTACCAAGTTTACAATCGAATTGATGAAATTTATAAATTACTAATAAAAGCAAAATAAGTTTGACTACTATAGTACTATTACTCATTGGAGGGAACAATTTACAAACTATCTATTGAACTAAAGTCGTAGATCATTTTAGTCGAAATTGATAAAAACAAATGAAATAATGATTTTTTATGTACTAAAATCTATTTTTTTATTTGTTTTAGGTTATAGAGAAACAGCGTTTGCGTATGCCCTTTCGGCGGCTGGCGTGACTATATCAGTGGCGAAAGCGTGCAGCCAGGAGAGACTAGTCAATTGCGGATGTGATCATCGGCCCTACCGGGTAAAGGGCGCTTCGAAATCTCCATGGAAATGGGGCGGATGCTCGCACAATCTCCAGTACGGCATACGCTTCTCAAAAATGCTTCTCGACAATAAGGACAGAGCCTCTGATCTTCACTCCAAGATTATTGTACATAATAACCAAGTTGGGCGCATGGTAAGTCAATATTTAATTGATAGCATATAATAAATAGGGAATATATTTCTTTTCTTCATCAGTGAAAAATTGTTATTAATTTCATATATTTTTTTATATAAATATTTTATTATCCCAATTTCTATCAATCTCAGTTTTTCTGCCTAATTTCTTATACAAATATAGATTATTTGTTACAAGAACAAAAATGCAAATGAGAAACCTAATTAGTTAGTATAATAATATTATATTATTATAACAATTAAATTCCATTTGTCCAAAAACAAAAAAAAATATTATCAATTATTAAACTAATTTAAAATCGAAGTATGAGAAAATTAGTGGCTCAAATTAAAGTAGAAAATAGATGATGAAAATAAGGCATTGATGAGACAGAGTGTATGTGTTTGTTTGTATGCGTGGAAGAAAGAGAGTAGTCTGTTATTGTTGTCAGTTAGAATAATGATAGGTGGCCGTGAGGTGGTGGTGCTGTTGGTGTTGGGTAAAAGAAGAGAAGATTCCCCGCGTGCAAGATGGAACTCCGCCTTCCCATAGTTCGGACAAAGGCCCGCCATCACGAGTTCGTGTTATTATGATTATTATGGACCACACGCGCTGGTCTTCTCATTAACTCAAAACTCCAGACACTTCGAGCTACGTCCCAAACCACCTCTCCACCACCACCACATCATCATCAACATCATCTCTCCACAATATAACACTCTCCCATACATACACAAACACACACTAACCACACTCGCGCCTTTCGGAATATATTCATTTTCATATCAGTGAAAACATCCTCTCGGCAAACACAAATCCCGGATAATTACAAGGTTGTACTGCTAAATTACACAATTGCACTCATCTGCCGGAGTGCCTTGATGATGCACGTACACCATATACATCAAAGATCTTCACGTGCACTTAAGCAAATATCGCTCCGTCGAATTAGTGCGATTTTGTCCATCGATAAAGCGGCACATCCGTCCATAAAGAGAAACACACAGACACACAGAGAGTGGAAGAGGCATTGTGCTTCAAAGACACAGCGGACGCACACAACCGGAGGGATGCGGCCCAACAACAAGAGCACAGACACACATACAAATATAAACACAGAAAGGGGGTTGATCCAGAGATACAAATGGCTCTCATTCAATGAGTGAAATCGTCCGACTTTATACCGTTATTATCATTATTAAAGCCTAGCGCTCACAGACACACACACATACACTTATACACATACATTAATCATAAATGGGATGATATTCCATACCTCTCTTCCTCGATATCTCCGGCCAAGGATTAATTACATCAAAGGAAAGCCCCAAAGGGGTTATTTCGTGAACAGCCCCTTTCCTACCCCCTCGCATTTCAATTATTTTCTTAATGCAAGGATATTACTTATTACTTTAATTTACTAAATTGCTCTGCACGGTAATAACTTACTTCGTGTAGCGCACACGCTGCAACAACAGTATGAACATTTATTTAATTAACTAGACACATGCCTTCGCATAACTAATTAATCCGACTAATTACTATTCCGCGTTAAACATATTCTCACTGTACCCAATTATAATTAATTAATAATTACATTGAATTTACACTCATGATATGATATCGACACAGTATTTGCCTTCTAATAGCAATTAATTTGCCGACGTAATTCATTACTTATTTATGATGTAATGGCCAATTTACATTATTTCAAAAATTATAATGTAATACAATCGATTCAAATTACTAATAATATAAATCTATTAAAAAAAACTACTATATCCTATGAAATGAACAAAACCTTTTACAAACTTGTTACAAACAGGATGACAATGAGGGGAACTCATTAAGTATATATTATTTTTAATATGTTTCTGTAGAGTTTCCTTTTGGAAGTCCTCATACATTCTCCAATTTTGATATACCTTACAACAGTGGTCGTCTAATTTTTGGGATTTCACGTATCACTTCTTGCTCCAAGGCTTAGATTCTTAACCTTAGACTAACCTAAGACTAACAATGAACTGGAACTTCTGTAACTTATAAAATTAATGTTTTATGTACTGAAGTTTCGTGATAATTAATTGCACAAGAGTAAATTCAACTTTATTTTATTAAGTAATTTTTTATTGAAATAAAAGTATTTTTTATATAAGGAAACCTATTAGTGTTTATTGAGCAAATAGTAGATTATTTACATTGTTATAATAGACAAGAATAAGATGTAGTTGATTAAATTATTATTTAATAAAAAGGCAATTTATAGAAATTATTAATTATAAAATTGTTTATTTTTTAAAAATTATTTAAAAAAAAATAATTTAGATAATAGAATATTATATATATTTTGTCGTGTCCCAAGAATAGAAAATCTGATCAATAATATGTAGTTTTAGGGTTTGTGAATAAATTAATTAAACGAGTTTTTACTTATGATTTATTCTTAAATATGAGTTAGACTAGAATCAAGAGTTTCCTTCATTATCTCAACTATAAACATGTAGTTTTTATTACCTTAACAATTTTTCTATTTCAATACTAGAAATTTATTAACTTAAATTATATTAGTAAACTTTGCTAAGTGCCATGTTAAATGTCAATTAGATATAAGACAACAAACTTATGAATTGAATAGATTTATTATATATGAGTTAAGTTTAATTATTGCAATCAATCAATGTATGTTAATTAAATAAAAATTATTGATTCAGATAATCTAAATCATTATTTAATTATTAATGGATTTAACGATTTTGTGGCGATCTAAATCTAATTCAATAAATAGTGGAAGGAATTCAAACAGCTTTAACTGTTTCGAAAGCAGAGACGACATTTTGTCAATAGAGCGACCAAACGACTTATGATTATTGGTTTTGAGGCAAGTAACAGAGCCATAATAATGTTGGCAGCAGATAGAATCGGATGGACATTTGTCACGTTCCGTTGCTCGAAAGGTATCATTAATCTCTTGGAAATGTCAGGGTGCATTCACGTAGCTGTTAGGAACATAATAGAGTATCATTAGCCTCCGTGTTGTTGTTGTAGTTCTTGGTGCCTTTGCCGTTGTTGTATTATGATTGCATAAACGAGTCGCACCGGCGGAAGTGGATCATCGGAGACGGCGCTGCCGGTTATGTTAGGCTAGGCCGCATGCAGTGAACAAGTGCACAAGTCGAAGGGCCTTAATTACATTATTAACGGTTACGACATTTCGTCCGGCAGTTCTATCGATAACAGATCTTCATTAAACTACCATCATTCATTCCAGTTCTCTCTGTCCCTTCTGCGGCCTTTTTATCCTTCTGGTCTCGCATGTTGCGTTACTTGTTGTTTGGCCGTGTCCAATTCATAAGTGCACCTCGCGCCGTTCCTTCACTCATTAGCTATGGTGGTGAAAGTCGCTTTTTATACGCACATTAAGTGCCACAGCGCCGCGATTAGTGACTACACTCATTACTATTATCTATCCACGTTACTCGCTTTTTATACCTATTTGTTCTACCTATTTTCCTGTTTGTAGCTACAATAAAATATAATGCTTCTACTTCGCCAAACACCTTTCGGCTACTTTTAGCATCATATATATTATTCCAACATAAATTTTAAAATTTATTTAAATTCAACATACAGTTTTGGAGAGATTATTAATGGCATTCAACATCCTGTGGCAATTTTTAATTTAAAGACACTTACTAGTTAAATTTATTACAGTTGGGTAGATTTATTTTTATTAGGAAATTATTGCATACTATTAAGACTACTTAACATACATTTTCTATAACTCTCGTTAGATGAAATTTATTCTCAAAGTGTAGGTCGCGAAAAAATAATGACAGACGGTATGTTTTTCTACACATACCCATTCTTCGGGGAGTCGTGGGCCAAAAAGTTTGAGAACCACTGCATTATATCATCAAGGGTTCCCAAACTGCGAGGTCCCGGGGCGCCAATCTTTTGACTTGGGGCGGCGCGGAAATATTCTTAAGGGCGCCGCAAACCGAAAAAGTTTGAGAACCCCTGCACTATACAATAGTTTTACAGTAATGGGACGTATTTCAATTTAGCAACTAATTTATAGTATGTACGATCCATAAGGAAATAAATTCATCAAAGTATATTCAGCTACTATTAACATCATTATACATATCCAACAAAGAACAATTGTTTTCATGAAATAGGGTATTTTCATATCGCTGAAGATTATCACATGTATAACTGTAAACCATATGCATTTTTTTGTACATCTATGATATTAACTTTTGCGTTTCTTATTATAAATACTATATATATTATATATATACTATACGTATTACATGCCTTCGTTTTTGTATCATGTAAAATAAAAATAAAACTCTTAATTTTCATTTTATGACCTGTTTATCGCATTAATTATGCTTTTTTCAATGTGAAAAACCTGATTTTTCAGATTGATTGTATATTTTGTGCACTATTTATTTTAAGCGGATTCTTCTGAAAGCAATCTACCGTGCAAAATCAAGTTTATGTTTATTATATATGAAATATTGTTATTTAAAAATATTGTTATATAAAAGTTATACTAATATTATTAAAACTTAATAATATAATAATGCTATTAATATTTATTGTATTTAAAACATTAGCATAACTAAAATATTTGATATATTATTGTGGATGCGCCGGGTCATATAACCTATATTTTACTACTACAATAACTATTTTTCAGGCTGTGTCCAACAACATGCAAATCAAATGCAAATGCCACGGGATGTCTGGCAGTTGCGGACTGAAAACGTGCTGGCGTTCTGCACCAGATATCAGGCATGTAGGTCGACTTTTAAAGGAGAGATACCGAGGTGCTATACTTGTGGATCAATCCAATTTGGGTAGCGACAGTACTCAAACTTTCAATGTGTAAGTTAAATAACCTATATTTTTATATCTACGTTAATAGTTTACTTAATTAAATTATTAAAATAATACGGATAAATAATAAATCTGAAATAAAACATGGACAAACGTTTTGATAAATTATATGTGAAAAATAATTGAATAATATTAAAAAAAAATGCAATCAACATTGTGTCAGCATTAAACAATGAAAATTTTATGTACTTTTATATTGTTATACTTTCATAAATCAGTATCATCGTATAACTAATATAGGATTTCTCAGTAAAAATTGCCGGATTTAAACACATTATTTTTTTCTAAAAACGTTCATATTTTTATTTCCTTGTAAACTTCAATTGTTGCGATTATGATTCATGGGTGACTTATGGGCAAAGAATCAAACGAATATTCAAGGTTTACTAATCGCAATAATAACAGATGGCACATAAACAATTTTTGGACATGCTATACTGGCACACTCTATTTAATAAAAATAATTGACAAAAGTTAAAAGAAATCTCTAATCATTAAGCGCAAATAATATAGATTAAATATCTTTCAACTTTCATAATAAATAAAAGAATACAAAGAGGAATACATGGAGTAGAAGTAAAAAAGTCGAACTAGCAATTATTACAATCATATTTTTAATTGACTAAGTTAACTGTTGAATAACATGCTTTATATAAATGATGTAAAAAAAATAATTAACACCTATATTTCAGAGTGAAGCAGGCCAGAAAAAGGCGCTTGAAATCCAGTTCTAAATTCAAAGAGTGGACCATCCGAAATAAAAACAAAAAGAAGACAAATCTTGCATATGATCTATTATATTATCAGAGATCGCCGAATTTCTGCGAACGCGACAACAATCTGGACGTAAGCGGAACAATGGGTCGACAATGCAACAGGAACAACACTGGTTCCGACAGTTGTGGTTCTCTATGCTGCGGAAGAGGATACAATTTGGTGCGAAGACGACGGACAGAGAGATGCAACTGCAAATTCATGTGGTGCTGCACCGTCGAATGCCAAACCTGCACTGTCGAGGAATGGATCACAGTTTGTAAATAGTCACGCTACGCTTTCTGTACATTGTATACTACATTATTTAGTATTGTAAATAATAATATGTACGCTTCCATAAATGCACCAAAACGACTAAGTCAAAATCATTTATGCAACATGTACATATCATTCCTTTACATCGAAGTGTCTCTGCCGATTTACGGTGTACATAAATGCGAATCGAACATCGATTGCATATAAATCACGTAAACTAGATAAGCTAATTATTTATGTAACGCAAATTTTATGTATCATCCTATTTTGTAAATATCTATTTAATTTAATCATATTTATTATCAATCAATGTAATGTATATTTTTTTTAAATATTTATAAATCATCCAACTTCATTTTAGCATTAAGAAATTGTAATTAATTAGTGTTTAGTGATCAGCTTTATATACGAAATGAGAAATATGTATTCATTTTTTGTTGTGAAATCTATTTATTGTGTGTTCTATTTTTACGAAACCGCGCATATCCGGTTTAGACAAAAATCATTAAATATCTATAGAATAAATGAATTGTGATTTGTAGCATAAATATTTATTATCGGCTTTACTTACTATATTTCAAATCGCTTCTAAGAAATCTTAATATATATTTTTATTACATATTTATTGCGTTTTTCTTCAAATTCTTTTAGTTTTTTTTTTAAATATATATAATATATTTACCATCATTTTCTTTTAAATTCTTACAACATTTAAAGTAATAATTAGTAAATTGTGAATTGCAGCTTTCTAGATTTTTCAAATATGAGCAGTATAAGAAAATATATTGGCTATACAATGAGTTGATAAATGTTTCATAATGTATATGTTTTATTTGATATTTAGTTATAAATTAATCAATCCTGACAACAGTATTATAAAGATGAATAGTATTATATGCAATAGCTAGTACGTAACAATTTGTAATAGGCGAATCGTATTTATTTTATTGGAATTAAATGCAGATACATAAAGCGCAAATCTATAATTAATTTAATACACGAAAGCAAAACAAAAGTAAATCCTATTCCCCTCCAGTTTAGTATAATTAAATTACATTTCCGGCTTATAAATGTGTATTCATAGCGAGGTCGAGGCTGCATTAAATGAATCCTTTGTAGTGCCTTTGTTCTGAGCTTTCATCGTAAATCCTATTATGAAGTGCATCAGCGGGACTGGATACAGTTGAAAAGTGTTGTCGACGGAGACAGTACGTACTGTGATTGCGGCAGGGAAAATGCTAATAAATAAAGTCTATTTATTTTAGAAATTAACCATGTCGAAACTATCAATAGACGATTTGCCAGATGCCGACGATCGATTCGTTATCGAAGAATGCATCGGTACTGGGATTTGCGGGAAGGTCTTTAGCGCTGTGGATAAAGGGTCGAACGATAGGAGGGTTGCTATTAAAACGCAGAGGGTTAATAGGGAGTCGATGGGTTACATACAGGAGGAACATAGGGTGCTGATGGCCCATTCCGAACATCCTAATATGCCCGATTTCTACGGAGCCTATAGGAAGGTTGGAGAAAGCGAGGACGAGGTTTGGTTCATCCTGGAGGTAAGTTTTAATGATTATTTACAAACGTCGAATTGCTTAATTAGTTCCTTTCCGTTGAGATAAATTGAACATCGAGTTAACGTCTCAATCGGGGCAATAAAATGTTTTGCAATTTAAAATGTATAAATTGTATCGATGCTGGAAAGTATGCGTGTGTGTATGTGTGAGTGTGCGCGTCTTGTATATATTTCCTGTATGGTTGTAAATTAAATGGTGGAATAAAAAGGGGCCTCGACCTGTCTTTAGATAAAGATAAAGAGGATGATATGGTTGAGTGCAAAGCTGAATTACACTCTGGGAATCAAACGAACATGTACTGACTGTCAGTTCAAATCTATATGATGCTAATAAAAATGAAATATACTACACTTCGAACGGCCTGCAACGCATTGGCACAAACAGATACATTTATCCTTACTTATATACTAGCTCTCCTGCTTCTCTTCATCTCTTCTAAAAACGTTTTACAACAAAAATAAACATACGCTCTTCCTCTCACTCCGCCCCAACAACATCTAACCATTTCCTCAATTTAAATCTCCGTTTATATCAGTGCACCTGATTCATTGTTTTCACATCATTTCTCATTTACACTTCTTACCACAAATACTTTCCTTTCTATTCTATTTAAATAATTATCTGTTAATCAATAACCATCAATGTATAGTTTATATAGAAATATGTATTATATTAATACAAAAATGATTCAAAACAATAATAACTAATAAAAAATTTAGGTGACAAAGTATGTCAATTTTATTAATATTAACTTACATGTAAAGTATATTTTACCATCAAATATTTCATCTACTTATTTATCTAATTACAAATCAAAATCAATCACACCGATTTTGATTATGAATTATAAGGTAGATTTTATTAATGGTATTGACACATTTTTTCGATTTTTCGATATTTTCAAATATATTAAAAATATAACAACATATTCATACTAAATTTGTCCCATAATCTTTTTTTTTAATATGCAGAAATGTTAGTGCTCTTGTATGTTGTTATACAATAAATTTAGTATTTCATTTTTAGTAAATGTAATAAAACATTCATCAAAATATGCAATATATGACCTAATCTATATTTCTAGTTATATTAATTAAAATAAATCAATATATTCTTAAAATTTCAATCAGAAATAAAACAAAGTTTTCCATTTATTTTATCGTGTAAAAACAGTACATGTCTAAATCAGCTAAAGAATACAAGTTTTTAAATATTCAATGCTTAATTCTACTTATTCCTTACTAATTTATATTACTTTTCCTATTTCAATATTAACTTTCTTTTTAATTTTAGTTACTTGATACTGCAAGCTATTATAAACCATAAAATTTTATGAGCTTTTATGAATTGCTAGAATTTTTACCATTATTATTGGATGATATGTTATATATTGCTTAAATTACTTAAATTTATTTTTGAATTAATTCATGCTAACTATGTTTTACATTCACCTGGTATTATCTGTGTACTATGCGGTTTTATGTATTGTTCCATTGTTAACCTTTTTCTTTTGAAGGGGGTTGAACAATAGTGGAATTATCGTTTTGTATTCGTGTATCGTTTGCAATACTTTGTTCATTGTCATACAAATACTACATGCAGTGATCGTATATTTCTTACAATTTACGGATATAAAACAAATGCGATATTATATATGTTTAGAGCACTACATAAATTTCAATTGAAATATTCTAAATATCTAAATATCTTTTTTATAATAATAATAATAATTTATTAGCCAAACATCAATACATAAAAAAAATACATTCTATTCATAAATAAATTCTAACATAAAATTTAAAAAAATATATATTAATAGGCTGGCTAACGGCCTAGGTCTTTCCGCCCAAATAATTCTACTTTTTTATATTTGCTCACTATTCACCTTTTAAAATAATCTGTAATTTCTTGATTTATTATCTAAAACTAAGGTATTTTTATTTGAATATCATTCAATCTTAGGTTTATTAAAAGTAAGTTAATTTCTAGTGTGTCCTCTTCAAAACTTTTATTAATATTTATTTTAATAAAGAAACAAAACAATCTAATTTTTATAATAAACACATTACATTTAAACTACGTTGCGTTATATTAAAACGTACAAAAAGTAGTATTGAAGTGAATAATATTAAACAAAGGGCTATTGAAACAAGCCTTAATTTGTATATTTTAATTGAGCTACATTTTAATATATTGTTTTCTTTTAATTAAGTTATGCGAAGGAGGTTCAGCAATTGACTTAGTAAATGGACTTCTTTATAAAAACAGAAGGATGGGCGAAGAGCACATTGCTTACATTCTGAAGGAAATAATCAAGGTATGAAGTTCACAAGACTGAACAAAAACTAAGACACTATTTTTTAAGGCGATAATGCACCTTCATGAAAATCGTGTGATGCATCGTGATATTAAAGCAAGCAACATTTTACTAACAAAGGATGGAGACGTCAAATTAGCCGATTTTGGACTATCAAGACATCTCAGCAGTACTTTAGGTATGGTCTAAACTTAAACATAAAATGATGTGCGTTTTTTTTAAATTACTTTCGGAAAGATAATTCAATTATAAATACAATAATAGAAGCGACACATCCAATGATATAAAAATAAAATATTTCCCGTAAATGATGCAAGGAAAGCGGGGAATGATCAATTTTATTCATTGTATAATATTTACTTTCTCTTAAAAATAATTCATCCAATTTTGTTTTTTTCCAATGCGATCTTATACCGCTTTCGTGTATTATGGTAAGATACTTGTCGAAATGTGTTTTCAATGGGTTCCCGAATTTTATAGCGTAGCACTTCATTCCTGGATATGCTACATCCTTCATAATCATCTGCCTAACTGTTCCTTTTAAATTGTTCTCTTTCAGCATAACCGCGTAATTCGCAAAAGATTTCTTCAAAACAACTCCGTAGTTCCCATGCTGCTTAATTTTATTCTCCAACTGCGTTTTATTCAATATTATTATTCGATCAGCCATCTCCTCGAATTCGGTGTCTCCGTTCTTCAAAAGCAATTCCTTAAAGATGGGTAATGTGTACACATTCATACCAGAGTTTTCAACATCCTCGAAGGTTTCCAATTGCTTTGGTACACGGAAAACTGTAAATCTACTCGATAATTGCGAGCCGATGAATAAAATCACGTAGAAGCAGTAAATCAGAAAGAGTACTAAAAGTATCCGTCCTCGTTTAGTACTTCTCGAATTCACAGGCTGCATCAGCAGCAAACCAATCCAACTTATCAATGTGACATTCCCGATACCAAGCTTCAAAACCATTAAGAAAATAATTATGAAGCAGATGATCAAAATGCGAATTTCCTTAGTAAAAATCGATCTGTATTTGGTGGTCATAACGCGTGGTTTTTCAGGAACCAGACACACGAGATCGTCACGCTCCAACGGATATAAGTATTCAATCAGATTGTTGTACGTCGATAAAATCAATCTGGAATTCAAGGCAACATCGCTATGGTTATAAACCAAATCTGCAATCGCTCCAGTTAGTCTCGAAATATCTCCGTACCTCTCCCCATCCGTCGGCTGGAATATTCTTGGGGTCGCATTAAAATAACCCGCTAAATTCATCGCAGTTAAGAAATCGAGTCCATCATCAAATAAACTGGTTTCATCTTTATTATTGTTGAACAAATTGATTCTCAACTCTTTTCCCCACAAATTTTTGTACAAATCACGAAAGAAAAATCCGTTCTTCGCCTTAATAGCAAAGTTATCTTTGAATGGATTGTAATTATAAAACTTGCAGTTCTCCAAAACGAAAATGACGTTGTAAATTTCGTACTTGGAACACAAACGAAAAAATATATCCACATCTTGTTTTTTTAATTTCTTGGAGGCTACGAATACCAAACAGTCCCTCATTCTCCAAAAGAATATTCTGCGAATGTTATCAATCACTTCTTGAGCTTTATCGAAATTATTAAAGAACGCTACATAAACCTTGCTCTCCTCGTAAACCGATTTCGATCCGTGCATCTTTATGAATTCATTGTTGAATAGAAGTATTGAGTCTCTGTCGGATTTAATTGTATAAATTGGATTAATCGTGATCTGCGATATCAATTGCAACTCGAGAATGCTATTATTTCCTAATAATATTATTGTATGTGTCTTGCTAAAAATATTTTTTAAGTTTTCATAAAGACATTCAGAAAATCTTTCTTTGAAAACGTATTTTCCAATGTGCACTTGACATGTTGTCACTGTGATGATAACGAGTAATGTTAATGTTAACTTTAGCATGACTGACTTTATTCTAAATGAAGTCGCTTGCTTTTATACACGATGAAAGTAATAACAAAAGTTTTCGACAAGTTTTATTTACCGTCGCGTCTGGGCGCATTTGTTTATTTGAAGACCATTAAATGTGTAATAGGTATTCTATTTTAGGTAAAAGTGATTCTTGCATTGGCTCCCCTTGCTGGATGGCCCCTGAAGTGGTAATTAGCAATCCTGATGACAACGAAAGCGGATACGGAAATAGGGCTGACATTTGGGCAATAGGGATCACAGCCATAGAATTGGCTGAAGGTTTAGCACCATTTGAAAATATGCATCCTACCAGAGCTATGTTCCAGATTGTGAGAAATCCACCGCCCACTTTATACAGACCTGCTAGTTGGTCGGAAAGTTTCAATGATTTTATTAACGAGTATGCTTTTTAAATATTTTGTTTTTCTTATTTTACCATGTTTTACTTTAGATGTTTAGTTAAAAACCCAGAACATCGACCATTTATAATGGAACTTTTGGAACATCCATTTCTGGGCGAAGTTCCAGAAAACAATTATCATGTAAATTTTCAAAATCAAGAAAGTAAATCCTATAATCAGAATTTTTGCAGCTCTCTCAAGAAATCAAGAGTTTAATTCAAGACTACTCACGTTGTGGAAAACAACATTCGAAATACGAAGATACACTTGTTAATACCAATTTCTATAAGCGGTCCAGAGACGATCGAATGGAAAAAATGTACGTGGAAGATTTAGCAGCATTGGATAAGTTATCCGAGGAGACAATAATACAAGAACTTCAAGCACGGATGAAGCAATTACAATACCATACCTTCGTTGGAGATATTTTGCTTGTTTTAAATCCAAACGAAAACCACGATATTTATGGAGAAGAAGTATTTGAAGAAAAAAAAATATATTTTAAATAAATTTTATTTTATATAACATTCTTGCAGTATCACAAAAAGTATGTATTCAAATCGAGATCCAACAATCCTCCTCACATTTACGCTGTGGCTGATAGCGCATATCAAGATGCGTTGCATCACTATGTGCCACAAAACATTGTTCTCTGTGGTGAAACAGGATCTGGGAAAACAACCACTTGCCTCCACTTACTTGATCATCTTCTATATATGGGAAAAAACGAAAACATTAACAACGAACGAATCTCGAAAGGAATGAAACTGATCCACGCCTTGACACATGCATCAACTCCGATGAACGACTATTCCACAAGATGTGTCTTGAAAACGGAAATTACTTATGGTAAAACCGGAAAAGTTTCCGGTGCTATATTTAATGTTGTACAACTAGAAAAGTGGCGTGTTTCATCCGTAGAAATGTACTGCTTCAATATTACTGTTTACAATTTGTTTCAATCTTATTTTTTTAGGAACCAATCAAACTATAATATGTTGTATTATTTATATGATGGGTTAAATAAAGAGAATAAGCTAAATGAATATAATCTTTCACCGGGAAGGAAACATCGCTATTTGAGGATTCCTAAAGATAGTCCCATGAAAAATCGTCCAAGAGATGATCCAGAAAGAAATGCAAAACAATTAAAAGAGTTCGTTGAAACTTTGAACATGTTTCAATTTACAGATGAACAAATTGAGAGCATATTTAAAAGTCTAGCATCTATTTTGATTTTGGGAGACGTTAGATTCAAAGAATTGTCCATTAATATGGCCGAAATAGAAAACGAGGACATGGTACAGAAAGCGGCTAAACTCTTGGATATAGACGAGAAGAAGTTGAGTTGGGCTTTGACCAACTATTGTTTGATTAAGAAGGGATCTGCGGTTCGACGAAAACATAATTGCGACGAAGCTAGAGATGCAAGGGATGTTTTAGCAAACACAATTTATACGCGTCTCGTCGATTATATAGTAAATTACATTAATTACAAACTATCTTATGGAAGGGCGATATTGTAATTTTATTAATATCGAATATTGTAAATTGATTGATTATTTATTATTATTTTAGTGGACATGAGTATACAGTGAAACTTTTAGATTTTTTCGGATTCGAAAGTTACAGAGAAAACCATCTTCCCCAATTGTTAATAAACACGTTTAATGAGCAACTTCACTATCACTTTCTGCAACGAATTTTCGCCTGGGAAGCATTGGAGATGACCGAAGAAGAAGTTCCCTTTACACCATTGCATTATTATGACAACAAGAACACTTTGGATCAAATTTTAGGGAAACCGGAAGGCGTTATTACACTAATAGATGATGCGTCAAAGATGGGTCATGGCGGAGAATACGTTATAGATTATCTCAATAATGCAGATCATGAGAAAGTTAAAGTCTTATCCCAAATGGAATTCAGCATTTCGCACTTTACAGGCTCCGTTTCATATAATGCTAAAGAAATGGCAGACAGAAACCGCGATTTCTTGCCACCAGAGATCATCGAATCGCTTCGACTCTCAAAAGATTGCATCATCAAGTCGTTTTTTGTTAATAAACTTACGAAAACAGGAAACCTGTTTACATCATTCGATGAGAATTCCGTTACGAATAAAAGTAAACCCAAATGTAGTTCATCTTCGGAAGACGAAAATAAGGTTTTTATATATTTTTTAAAACGTAATTGGTATTAATACTATGTTTTAGGGTGCTGCGCATCAATATTCGCAAATAAAAAAAATGCGCACTTCGGCTTCAACTTTTCGGTCTTTATGCTTGGATATACTTAAAGAGCTTTCGGTTGGTGGAGGCGCCGGGGGAACCCACTTTGTAAAGTGCATTCGGTCCGATTTGGAGGGTCAACCAGGCGGATTTCATACAGAAATAATTAAACAACAGCTACGAGCAATGGCTGTGTTAGATACAGCAAGGGCAAGGCAGAAGGGTTATCCGCATAGAATTTCGTTTTCGGAATTTTTGCGCAGGTTAATTAGTAATACCTTACAAAAAGAACATAATAAACTGATATAATTTTTTTAGATATAAATTTTTGGCATTTGATTTTGATGAAAATGTTGAAATATGCAAGGATAACTGCAGATTGCTTCTGGTGAGATTAAAAATGGAAGGTTGGCTAATTGGCAAGACCAAAGTATTCTTGAAATATTACAATGAGGAGTATTTAGCAAGGTTAGTTCATACTAGAACGAAGAGTTTAGTGCAGTAAAATTTATTTAATTCTAGATTGTATGAAACTCAAGTGAAGAAAATTATTAAGATTCAGAGCATGCTACGGGGCTTTTTAGCTAAAATGAGGATGAAAAAGAGATTGGCTGGTGACCAAAAAAAACGTAAGTTTAATAAAATTTAGTTCGATCAAACTACAGTTACTTTTCATTAGAATATCACCAAAGCACCGAAGGGGAAATGGACGAAGAAAAAGCGGCTCTTGTCCTACAAAAAGGTATAAAGGTGTAAATTATTACACTATTAATCCTGATACACGTTTTTAAAATGACCTATAAATCAATATTTATATACATTGAATTATACGTGCATCTAGGATATTAATTAAATATATTGAAAATATGCACTTTCTAACACGTAACTAACTTCGAAATTATTTGTTTTAGTTGTCGATCAGGCAGATGAAACAGTCGACAACGGAATAGATGATTCCGAAGTTAGTTCTTAATAAAAGGAATCGATAATGCCACGTTTTCATTTTTAGCATATCGTGGTGTAGCTAGTAGAAAAGGATACAACACATTAGTAGAATCTCAGTACGAGAAACTAGATGCAGACACGTGTAATTTTATTAGATTTTTTTGTATGAAATGGAAAGCTAAATCTATATTTCAAGTACTTCTTCAATATAGAGCGGCCACGCATCACGAGCTTTTCAATCTCTCCCAACAGGTTAAGTTTTATAAATAAATTCTTCAATAATTAGTTAATAAGCTTAATTTTTAGATCCATTTGTTTAACCAACACTTGGTATACAATTTACAAAAATTTAACAACAACATTGGTAGAGATTTGATCGATTCTCACGCTCAACCGAGCACATGGTTAGGAGAAAGGAAACCGGCTATATTGAAATTACCATTCAGGTTAAATGATATACCGTATTTCGACACTTCCTACATGTGCGATCCTTTAACAAATCCTTGGTAAGAAAACTTACAGATTATTATGAAATGTTTATATTCAAATTGAACTTTTTACTAGGAATACAATAGAAAAGGAAGAGGATTGGGACGCTCCTTTCCGTTGGAGAGAAACAGTGTCTTCGCAAATAACATTATCGCTCTTGAAAGAAGAACAAGAAAATAAAATTTGCAAACCGTATTCCGCCCATTGCAAGCCCCATCCCACTCTCCATAATCCTTACATCGAATACATCAGTAATATACCTTATAATAGGGATCCCAACGTACCAATTAAACGATTGTCTGCCATAGGAACTGACCCAGATTTTTCAAACTGTCCTATAAATATTATGAACCCCAATTATTCCGAGCACAAGACTTTTCAGCCACCACCGCCACCAATGATGAACTCTCCGATAACCTATAACAATAGTCCATACAAGAATGGTGATAATGAAAATTATATGCATTCTAGAAAACAAACGTTTGATTCGCCAAAAAAATATTCCCACCAGCATGAACGCAGAGACTCTCATTCCGGATACGCTAAGTTCAAAAATCATATGGATTATGAACAATCAAACAATAAGTATGATTTTCGCGATAAAGAATATAATAGCCCCAAAAACCATCGAAATAAAGCAAGAGATTTTAAAGATTTTCAAGAAAAGGAAAGTTATAATCAACCTCATGGCTATAATAGTAACAAAGAGCAGGAGTATCAAAAACTGGACGTCAGACAGTCGTACAGCTCACAACGAAATTCTCTTAAAAAAGTATACGATTCCCCAAAATCAAATAATAAGTACTCGATCCCAAAGGAAGGAGATAATTATAGCCCTAAAACAAAGCACTCATCAAAGGAATACGAATCACCCAAATACTCATACAACAAAGAAAAGCTCGATTATAGTCCAAGAATGGGATACCCCAAACCAGCAACTAAAGATAACGATTACATAAAATCAAACAGTTCTTACAGATCGAACAATCCTGGTCAAGTTGTTAATCCCATAACGGAGTTGAAAAGCTTAGGAAAACGTGATAGTATTTCCGATGATGAACCGCCCTTCAATTTTCAGGGAATGCTGCGTAAAACAAAAATTACTCGAAATTCTGTAAAGGAAACGTTTGAAAATATAAGGTCTTACTCGTTGAAGAAAAAGAACGATTATAACAATGAGAGCGAGAAAAGTAGCAGAAACAGTACGTTGAGAAAAATTAAGTCCATGGATCATCTGAATAGCGAAAAATTAGAGTTGGCTCCCGGTATCTTCATGGAAGGCGTAGTTGCTGATCTATAAATTGTAATCATACATAATATTAAAATTACTTTTAGTGCTTAAAAATGTATCCGCTTTTCACAGTAAATTATAATTATATAATTATAATAAAGCATAGATTATTCTGTTAACATTATATTATGTATTAAAACTGTAACCAATTGTATTAATTAAAATATTTAGTTACTTACACTATTTACTTTCTTACAACAATTATTTTTGTATTAAATCAATAATATATTAAATCTTTACTTAAAAGATGTGATAAAAATCATTGAAAATTTACTTTATCACATACAGAGTAATTATAAGCATAGTAAACAATATTCATGAAAAAAAAAAGTCTAAAATAAGTTTAACAATATTATGTTTCTTTAAGATAAAACTAAAATTGTTTCCACTGAATTTGTATCACCATGTAGAAATATTAAGGGATCCAAGATTGATTGGTTGCCTACGTTAAATTTATCTTACCAACTAAAATTATAGTTAATTCAAAATTGCTCATTACACACCTTTACAAGATATTAATCATTTGTAACAAATTCAACAATAATATTTAATATTTTTTTAATTAATTGAAGAAATATGATAAAATCACGTCTAACATTTATTGTCAAAAGTCAAAATCCTAACCTATAATTATTGTAACAACAATGAATGCGATTTGCTCCTCGATCAAATTGATCCCTTCAAATTTAAGTAATTTGGGGTCTCTGAGAAATTACGCATTTAAAAGTGATTTAAAAATAAAATGGACAAAACCGGAAAAAATCGCATGCTTCAGACCGGAAAAAAGCGGTGATTTAGAGGGTATGCCAGACATTGATAAATCAAGATACCCGTTACAATTCAAGAACTGCAAAGAGTTGGAAAACGCCGACGAAAATGTGAAAAGATTGTTTTCCCTGCAGTTTCATCGCAGGTCACAACATACAAATGTTTACATCAATGATATGATGGATCAAGTGCGAAGACATCCTATGGACAAAGGATCAATGGAAGCTAGAATTGCCAGGTGGACAGGAGCTATTAGGTCACTCCAAATCCAGATGGATGTGCATCCAAGAAACAAGAAAGCCAAAGTTAATTTGAAGGAGTTGATTGAGAAACGTAACAAACATCTGAAGTATTTAAGAAACTGGGATTACAGGAGGTTTGAGTGGCTTTTGGAGAATCTACAGATTGCCTATAAACCAGTTCCATCCGAGTATGAAAGAGTCAGCAGGAAAGGCTCTCTGACTAAGCTAACTCAAATTTATTGCGATAATGTTGTCCAGGAAAGGTTGGATACTTACAGAGAACAATTACAGGAAGAACAACCAAAGTTTTTGGAAGAAAAGATTAATACATTGGAATTCCTCCAACAAGAGCAGAAGGACTGTGGTGTTGAAGTTACAATAACCCAAGAAGATATTGACAAAGTCAAGGAAAAGTTGAAGGTACTTCTTGAAGAGAAAGCAAAAAAAGCAGAGGATCTTGAATGAGCAACTGTATATTCAATTAGTTAAAATAAAATTTATTATTTATAAATACTTATATACATTTTATCGGAAGTTCCAAATATTACATTTTGTTATCCTTTTTATGTCTCTTAACTTAATATTTTATTGAAAAATAGGAAACATTTTTAAATTATTATAAATTTATAAAATTTACAATTCTGGTAGAGTTTACAAAACAAAGAATAATCACCAATCATCTTGCCTCAATCTATATGTCCAATTATCACTTCTAATCACTTCAACTGCTGGTCCATAATATGGCATTACATAATGGGAACCATCAGCTGGACCCACATATTGTGTAGCTATCAATACAATGTCAATTAATTGACCAATAAACATGAAACCCAAGGTGCAAAACTTGGCTAAACCAATAGCTGGATAACCCAAGTAAAACCTGTCAGCACCAAACATTCCAAGGAACACCGAAAGCAACATTGAGGTCTCAAATGAGTAACCATTAGTCCACTTGCAAGGCATCTCTTTAAAGAATGTAGAATTTCCAGTTTCAGTGCAATTGAGACCTTCAACAGCAGTACATTGTATCTTCGCCTTGTTATTTTTTTGGCAATTCTTAAGCTGTTGGGTTTTAGGATCTATGTGATCTATGCTTGGATCTGGGCACATGAACTGACCCATTCTTAAATGTTTACACTCAACATTATGAATCACTGAAGACTCCTTAACTGCTACACTCCAAGATCCCACAGTGTCCACAAAACTAATATAAGATATATATAAAACAAAATATTGTAATTTCAACATTTTATTAATATTCACTGCACTTTAAATCATCCCTTAGTCCACTGGGGTCTAAGTCGCTTGTTAATAAATTCGCCACTTTTACAAATTGCTGCCACAACAACAACAGTCTGACTCAGCATACCAAATTAACAAAAAAAATCACACACACACATTGCATGCAGAAATATGAGAAATATGTTGTATAACCACTGCAGTGGCGTTCCTTAGTGCATGGAGAGCACATAACGCGGCGCCACAAGTACCAGCAAATATAGCGCTAAATAATTTGAAATTTCAAACAATAAAATACTTTCGCATATATTTTACCTATATTTACTTTATCCTTTCAAATAGTTTTTATTGCTTTAACGTTTTCGCACTATTTACATTTACCAAAACTGCTTGACTACTTTTAACAGAGTTTGTTCTGATCCAAATAAGTTTAATTATTATTATTAAACATTTTAGTCTTTCTTATGACTTATATTACTACTAATTAGTCTATTAATTAGCGAGTATTGTTAAATTAGTAGGATGGCGATAAAATCCTTGTACTATTGGATATATTTAATTAATTTATTTTAGCTTTCCAGTCTGATTGAAGGAACATTTGTGAGGATAAGGTGGGATCAATTTAATTAATTTATTTTAGGCTATTTAGAATTTCATTTAGGATTTAAATAAACTGAACTACAAGTAAACTCCAGTAAGTGTATATTTAAAATGTATTGCACAATAGTAAACAAATATAACTATTCAGAAATGAGATACACTTGTCCAGTTCTGGGATGTATATCCAAAAATGCAAACATTGTACTGAAAATATTGCACCTCTCCAATATGCTTCAGATCATTTTCTGTTAGCCATTATAGGCCTATGCCAACAAAATATCCTTTTTCATTCCTGACTTTGTTGGTACTTTTACATGCTGGATTGAGTAGGTTTGATTACTTGACTTACTCAACTACTTGTTGTGAAAACCATATTTGATTCATTATGTTATTTCATCTGCAAAATGGAGAAATTAATTAGTACAGACGTATGAAATATCTAAACATTAGTTAATCAGGAAATAACGAATGTAAGGGTAAGAATATATTAGTAATTTTTATTTATTTCAATACATTATTTTTAGATTTAGTGAGTAGTAGTAAAATTAACTAATATATGTGATACCGAACTTGTAATAATATAATTGAACATTTAGTTGGCTAAATTTACAGAGAAGCCTGTAATGATTTATGTAATTGTGTAAAGTGTGAGCTTCGTTGCGTATGGCTGTGGCATCCACATTCTCGACATTTATTAAATTATTTGGTGATATTTTACATATATAATTTACTTTTATATTATCTAATATTACTATTCATTGCAAATTATACAATTACATAAATCATTGTCAATTACATAATTTCGATTGTCGGGATTATGGTAGTCGGGATTTCGATACACTCGGGATTTTAATAGACGGTCTTTCAGTTGTCGGGCTTGCGATATAGACCCATATATATATATATATTTTTTAATAAATAATTTTAAATTTATGAAATAAATTATAAATGATTTTTAAATTTACGAGAAATATATTTATTATTTTTAGTAAATACATGCAAAAATAGTGATTAACAAATTATCTTATATATATAGGCCTCTCCAGCATTCAGAACAAACTCCTTCCTCCTAGATGCCTATGTTTCCTCCTGTTTCATCTCCAATGTTGTGAACAAATTCCTTCCTCAGATGTTCCACGTTTTCCCCTGTTTCAAATCTCGAATCTACTGAATAAACATATATTAATAGTAATTAAGTTAAACTTTTCAAACTATAAAATAATTACCTGTCCAGTACTGTGCATGAACTCCTCAATCATAGATGCTACAGTTGTTTAGTTATTAATATTGATGATGATAGTCTCAGTGCAAGTGTTTAGTCATATCTGGTTTTTTTAAGAAAGTATCTTCAATGCCATTCTGTTTGCAAATGTGCTGCTTCAGTGTATTGAACACATAATCATTTAAACCAGGATCAATTTGAATTCTCTTGCTAAAATTCATAAGTGTTGCTTTAGATGGTAATGTAAAAACATTTTTTAAATAATTATAACATTTCTTGCTCCGTTTAAATATGCTGAGGGCAAAAACTTTATCTTCAAAGCAATATGACTCTCCTCTTTTCTTCTTCTGAACATTATTGATTTGACTTTTCATAAATTGTTGTACAATAGGTGTCAAATTTTTAAAATTTCTATATTCATTGCATTCTATCTTATATATTTTATTTATTTTTTCCAAATAGGATATGCGTTTTTGCATTTGTCTTCTGCTTAAGGTTTGATTTTTTTTTATATTACCATTCTTAATAACAGACACTTTCTTTCCAACATCTTCTATGTCACAATTTAATTCAGAAACAATACCTATTTGTTCAGTCTCATTTAATTCAGAAACAATACCCATTTGTTCAGTCTCAACTTGTTCTGTTTTACAATACTGTTGATTCAAATTAATAAGATTGTTGTTAATAGTTCTGGTACTATCAGCATCAATACTTATTTCTTCAGTCTCAACTTGTACTATTGTACAACCCATGTGATCTGAATTGCCAATAATTGTATTACTATCATCATCAATATTCATTTTGTCAACAACTGCATCATTCATAAGATTTTCTGTCAACATTGGATAATCGTACTTTAAGAACTTCGGTCTCTTTCTGTACTTTTCAGAAAAATGAAGATTACATACTTTCTTAGCTTTCCTTATATACTGATTGTCCATATCTTTCAGTGAATCGTTACTTGTAGCAACTTTCCACTGCTCAAATAACAAAGAATCAATAGGTGGAAATGATCTCAACCCTATTTTGTCTTCTTGTTGTGTAAAACATCCTTCAACGCAACAAGTATAAACCATCCTAATATAGAACGTGCATTAATTGTACATACATATTTATATAAATAATAATGAAAAACTGTTACTTACTTGCTAACTGTCACTTAGTCCAATGTAAACAACACAACAACATGGCCGAAAGCATAAATTTGAAAAGTATACGAATGGTAATGTAATCATACCAACTTAAAGAAAACAAAATAAAAGCGTCGAAATTTGCCGTATCCTGTTAGAACCCCCTGCTTAACCCCCTAAGCTTCTAATGTCAAACACAATATAGGTTATGTTTTTTTTTATACATATACGAGGATGTTTTTCTGTGTGTTGAAGTTTATTCTTAATTTAAACGTTAAAATGTTTGACATTAAACTCACTTAAACCTAAAGCATATAATCATAATAAAATGTCTTCAAAAACACCAGCTATGATATTGCAGGAGCTTTCTATCAAGGAAACATCATCTCCTCCTGTCTTTAATATAATACACCAGATACAAGGCACTCATGAAAACGAATTTGTCTTTCAAGTTGAAGTTATGGGAATTTCCACAACAGGTTTGTCTTAAAACTAACATTGTAACCAACATTATAAAAAATATGCAACAATTTTAGGAAAAGGTCGTTCTAAGAAAGAAGCTAAACAGGAGACAGCTCGAAATGCCTTAAAAATAATTAAGACTGTTGGTTATTCAACAGATATACCTGAAACAGTTATTGGAAACAATAAACCTGAAGAAATGGAACTTAAGCAAGTAATTAATAACATAGGAGTTTTAACTGCTCTATGTCAAGTCTATAATGTACAATATGCAGAATACATAGAAATATCTGCTGTTGGTCCACCACATGCAATGGAATTCACATATGAATGTCACTTGGCATCTTTAGTAACTAGGGCTACAGCAAATACAAAAAAGCTTGCAAAGCAATCTGTTGCTAAAGAGATGTTGGAGAGATTACAGAAGATCATACCTACAGTTGATATTGAAGCACTAGTCCTCAGACCAGTAGATAGTGAATATGACTTAACACATTTGTTTGAAGATCTCAACCTCCACAGAAGAGTAAATTTAGGCAGGCTAATTGTAAACAGTAATGAAGTACTTAAAGATATCATGAAAGAAAAATTGTTAACATTTGAGAATTTGAAAATTGTGTGTATATATATAACATTTTCAACAGGCACCATTAACTAACAAAAGTATTTATTTTCCAGTTTTTAGAAACTCCATGGACTGATGATAACATAGCACAGTTTTTTGCTAAATTTGAACTAGAATATTCATTTGAACCTATAGAAACAGAAGATGAAAGTTTTCTCACTTGTATGCATGTAAAGAGTGATGTTCCACTTTGCACATTAGGCAGTGGAAATACTGAGGAACTTGCTAAACAAGATGCAATTGATGAGATGCATTCAATTGTATTTAACCTGGTTAAGGATTAATATTTATTTGTCACATGTTTGGTCCACTTAAAGTGGGAATTTATTTTTATTTAGTTTTTTTTTCAGATCAATAAAGGTACATTAATTTATTTATTGTTTAACATTTATTTTTATCCTGTCTTTTCGTTATATTATATTGCGTTTATTCATTCTATACATAATTCTTTTTATAATCTAGTAAAATTAGATTTGATTCTTTTTAGATCTAAGTTAATTATCGTATTCAATTATACGAATTAATCATTTTATTAAATTTGAGGTTGATTTAAATCACATTTTTAATAAACTTTACATGAATTAATGTGGTTTTATCAAGATCACATATGCGTGAATGTCTACATTTCATGTTTTTTTTCTAGGTTGCAATATTAATCAGCAAATTTTTTAATACAATATATTTATTTTATTACAATTTTACATTTAAATTATTATTGAGTCCATTCATATTAAGATATTATTGTTTTGTGATTTTAAGGACAGGTCTTAAATAATTTCATAAATGCACCTATTTTATAAGTATTTATATTTACAGTGGAATCTTGGATTGAGAGTATTTTGCAAGACGATAAAAATAACTTATTAAACGTCAGGTCGATATTTTGGGTCCCTAAAACTAATAATCTATTTTAAATACTATAGGAAAATCAAGACATTTTAGAGGGTTCCTCATTCACCCAGGATTATGGTTATTCGTTTCCGGAATCTTTCAAGATTTTGTATCTTTGCTATTACTTAAATATATTGTTCGTTGGTTCTATTAATATAACTTGGTCATTTCATGTATATATCTGAAAAAAATATATTTAATCGATCACTTGAAAGCATTTGATATTTTTGCTTCGCAACAATAATAAGGTTTATTTTAATTCAGTCAATATTACAAAAATACAGCATTTCTATCATTGAGATGCTCTGTTCTGGTATAACCCAGTGTGGCTATGGTCGCCTGTATCACGAAAATCTGATACGAAAGGTCGTCGATTCAATTCCAAAAAATCAACAAAAAAATTTGGTGGCTGTTAAACCCGAAAGGGGTAGAAATAGGGCCGGAGAGATTTATATCAATAAATAAATTGATATAAATCTCTTTAAAAAAAAAAATAACAGTTGAAATAGTTCAGTATATATTGGGTACAATGAATATAAAATCGCCTTTGACCAATCAGTGCATATAATTTAGCTCAGAGTTCTTCAATAGTTTCAAACATTTGTAAAACAGGGGTGGATTGTCTACATTAGATGAATGAGTATAGAATAGTGAGCTGCTAAGCTATAAACTCTTTTAATTTCAAACTATTTTAATGTTTTTCTTTTTTTTATGTAAACATATTGCACTGTCTACTTTGAAATGAAACCATTTATTGTATACATATATATATATATTTATTGGGTGAATCAAAAAATAAAATACGATGGTCTTGTATTATATATTATACAAAAAAGTGAATTATACTATTTATGACTAGAACTTTCAAATAGAAATTCCTAATAAAAACCGAGTCCATCTACTACTAAGTTGTCATGTTGGATTGTACTCAGTGGTATTAGGTTTTTCTCATTCATTTATATAGATTACAATAATAAATCTAGTCTACTCACGAATACGCTTAAGTATACATTATAAATTATATACAGTTTGTTTCATTGTGTTTTTTTTTTGTTTCATTATAAAATAAATAGTCACAGTTAAAAATATTATTTTCTTTTGCAATGCGGTATTATCATACCTTAATTATTTAAGTATTAATGCCAAAAGAATTAGTCAAAAAACCTTGACAACAGTTGTTACAAAACTATTCATGCGTGGCGAGATAATTTTCTAAGAAATCTGTCTAAATAAAACTCTAACATTTTCTTGAGAAAAAAAAAACAAATCTCTTTGGCACTGATGGAGAATGAATAAACAAAAGTCTTAAATAACTTTATTGTCGTCGAACCTAAAACTTAAATTATGAGTGATATGTTCAATTAAAACCAAATAATAACTGAATATCTTAAAAGTTAAAAATAGGCCAGTCATTGCTTATGTTGAAGGCAACTGTTGAGCGTTTCGCAGCACTGCAATGAAGAAGTACATGGTCTCCAGTTAATGGTTCTTCTTTCCTTCCTTCCTGAAAGGGATTATATCTCACTTTTGAATATATTTACATCGAAATTGGAATTACGTAAAAAAAAAGTAAAAAAAAAATCAAAACAAAAATGACTGAAAAATGTATTTTCTTCGGAGATCGTATTTTTGTTGAGCAACAACGAATTGTGTGGAACCTTAACTTTGGTCAAGCTGCAATTGCATTTGATTAATATTGAAATATATCTAGTTTTATGAAAAAATGTAGCTTACTTTTAGACGATTGAAGACGCACTGTGAAGTGGGGACCTCGGTGAATGAAACTTTAAAAGTTCGACAACAGTAACGGCAACTTGCACCAATCCTCGACCCTCTAAAACATCTGACGAGCAACAAACTAGGTTCTGAAACAACACCGATTATAAAGAAACAATCGCTCTGGGTTCGGCAGTAAAAGAATCATCCACTAGACAAACATTTATTCCAAAAGCATTGAAGGGAGAGGAAATTATATTTATATTGATAATCTTCATTATAAACATTACAGAAGAAACATAATCCAAATAATATAAATACATAAGAACTTACATATTAACTTAAGTAACTAATACAAGAAAACAGATAAATGACTTTCAACAACCGGCGAGAATAATTTTGGTAACTAAGTTGATTTCTACATTCTCCAAATTAAATTGGTGAGCAATCTTCGATCGCAATAAATACTTTAAAAACTAATCAACAATTATTTCATGAATGTAATTAATATAATAAAAAAAATAAGTAAATTAGTATAAATTAATAGTTGTTAATAAAAGAAAAAATGACTAGAAAAAAAATATATTGTTTCAGAACATTGAATTTATAAATTATATAAAGTAAATAAATAATTTTATGTAACATATGTTACATGGAATAAGCAAAAGTTGAGAATTCTTGTAACAGATTCGTGATCTTCTTTCTCAGGCTAAAGCACTTCAGGCGTAAACGTTTTCGAGATCACGAAAAATAAGCAAACAAAGCATGATTTTGTTTCTTATTTTTGGTATCTTCTAAATAAAATCATATTCCTTTGGCAACGACAAAAAGGAAATTTTAAAAAGCGTGTATTTGTTCCTTATTATAAATATATAAAATACGTGTCTTCTTATATAATAATAAATAGTATATAGCTTTTTCGCACTAGTATTATTTAGTTTTCAAAAAGCTTATAAAAATAGCTCATGTAGAATTTAGCCTGATTATAATAAGCTGCCTTAGTTATTGAGTTGACGGTTGGACCAGAAAACAGATTTGATTGCAGAAAATATTTTTATAAAGTCATTTTTTTAATAAAATATTTGTTATTGAGTAGATAGTTATTATCGTTATTTTGTTTTATGATTAGTGAAAAACCCGTCTAATGTTAAGCTATTAATATCTAATAATACCGTTACATTTAAGCGTTAATTTTGGTTAATATATTAGTCTCGAGAGAATACTACAAGTGACGTAGGTTGAATATACATGATTCCAATTATAAACACTATAAAAATTTAATGAGTGAATGCATAAATAGTGCAATTAACGCATTTTTAAATTTTGATATGATCTTAACCATTAATCAACCTACTAATTAAGTATTTCTCTGTTTTTATTAAATATATATATATATATTATTTCGAGGCACTATCAAATCAATTCTTGTGTTTCAATTTGTTCATCACAACAATTTCAGTTTGATTGTAAATGGAATGTATGTATAAAACGATACTCATTTGGTACGTGTACTTTGGTTATATATATATAAATAGAAAATATTTGGTTATATAAGATTCAAGTGTTTTTTTTGTAATAACTGAGATTTTTAGATAATACGGATTGCATGCTAATACTGAATTATCATGATTATGTGTTTGATTTGTTTTTCGTTTCGTTTCGTATCTTTAGTAATCGCTTTCCGGGAAGTAGTATAATAGTAGGAGTGTAGTTACGAATACTGCAAGCATAAAGAGTGAGACTGTGGTGTCTTGGATGCTACTACATGGTTGTTGTGTTTTTGCGGTCATCGGTTCCATTTTGCAGAGTGCCTCAAGAGTGTCCAGTAGTCTTCGTAGTCCCCTTCCAGTTAGGGCCTCAGTTACATCTACACTACTGCACAGGCGCCCCTGCAACCAACCACAGTCTCACTCTAAATCAGAAGAAAACACAGAAAACAACAATCTACTTTTTTTGTTAACAATTCAAAATGAGTACCTTATCTTCTTGATAGTTCCAATATAAATAATATTCTATATTACCTGAGTGTTTTTGACTTATCCTTGATTATATTTGTTTTTAAGAATATTTTTATATTGGAATCATCACCAAAATTAATAAAGCTATTATTAGCAAGCATTGATTTTTAAATTGTTAAGTATATATCGTATTATATATTTTAAAATAAAAAGAAATGCATACCTCATCCACACCAATTTTCCGACAGGCTTCTAGAAAATTATCCACGTTTCTTCTGCATCTTGCCATGGTGAGTTTCGGCTAATATAAAAAATAATATTGTTATTATATATAACCAGAAGTTTTTTAGGGTGTTCAATTGTAACATTGGATACTTACAACAGCTGGAGATGGTACATGTATACTGGCTACAGATCTTGGTCTTATATGATTGGCGAGGTGGCATAGAACAACACCATCGGTAAGCGTCGGCGCCAGATCGTTGGGCAGCGTCATTTTTAACCTAGTCTCGATGATCTATGAGCAATACAACAATATTAACATTATGCAATGCACGTACTGCCAACGTCACTAATTACGTGTCTCAATTGGTTGATCAGATCTGTTTCCTCGCGTGCCTTGTCAATTTCTCTCCGCATTGTGAACGTCATCTTCTCGGGAGGCATGTCCTTGTTCCAGCTGATCGACCTGCCAGCCGTTTTCACTCCATTAGATTTCGTTGCTCCGTTAATTTTAGGACTACTTGGCTTTCCATTGGTAATAACACCGTTGGAAACAGGAACGTTATCGTGTGACATGATTCCTACGATTAACAACAATTATTATAAGCAACATTGTTTATTAGAGGTAGTGCTTACCAGAAACAACTTTTACCGGGGAACTGGGCTTTACGTAATCTTGTATATACTTTTTACCATTATCCATGCCGTTTCCATTCAAAGGCGTGTGATTTGGAGAAAAACCACCGCACATCCTCGAAGGGGTGACCTTCTGGACTGGTTTCTTCGGGCTAGTATCATCGAATATATGCTTAGGACTACCTAATGCCGCATTGAGTGGAGTCGGATCCGATTTGGAAGTGGCCATCGTTGTACGTGTTGGAGTGGGTTGGTGAGTCGGAGTATTCGGTTCCGTTTTGTATGCGTGTTCGTCGTTCTCTTTGGTACGATAAATCGACCCTATATCCTGCGCCCTTTGTTGTTTCAACGCCTCCTTATACTCCCTGAAATTACAAAAATCGATATGCATTCTGCTTGGCCACCAGAGAAATTTAGATGATGTAACCTGTAAGTTTGTATTTGTTGGAGCGGCCTCTTATCTTCCGCATTTCCATTTGTTACGCTGTTATCAATGCAGGGGCTTAGTCTTGCACTGGAAAAACAACACACGGAGCTTGTTAACAAATGAAAGTAGAGAGAAATAAGCGGAAACGAAAATGAAGAGAAACAGACAAGAAAATAAAAAGCAAGCAATTCAAAATCAAAACCAACATTTAAATTTCGGATGCAATTTGTATTTACGGTTTTCTAATTAATTCATATAAAAATCGGATCATAATCATTAAGGCTAATATGAAATTTGATAATATGTTGACTGCTGTTGTCCTAAAACAATATATATTTATAGTGATTTTATTTGATTTCCTTAATATTGTATGGTTTAAAATAGTTTTTACGAGAATTATGAGTAATTGCAATGGTGCTACGTACTTGTTCGTATCCTTTTTATCGCAAACGTCAGTTGAAAAGCTTGATTTGGAAAGTTCGTCGTCCAAGGATGTATCAGGGCCAGGTGAGATAGTGGAAGGCGTTGAATTTGCTGAATGCGCCGCGTTGGTATCTACGGAACGGTTCGCTATTGGAGTCGATGACCATTTATCCAAATCACCTACAATCATATTCCAAATTAAAGTAAATTTATATCATCGCGACGTTTTAACGCATACCTGGTAGTTCTTGTGACCATCTTTTGTCATCACTGCTTGTGCTGTAGCCACTGTCCACGTTCTGTCGTTTCTTCAGTCTTTCCGGAATATGGGATGGTGGCACCGGACTCGAATAATTTCCCACTGACCTTCTGGTGGGTCTTCTTCCCAAGGTACCAGTCCCATTCAGACCTATTTTGTGACCCAATTTGATCGCCTCGTTCTCCAAATATTTAAAAATATGTACTCGACCTCGTTTGCATAACTAAACAAAGCCAATTATAAACAAATAAGAAGGCACTCGTAACATTCTACGTACGCTAGCCGGTGGACTGGTTAATGGATTATCCTCGACGAGCAGTTCAATTAAACTATGCATGTCTCGCATTTCGACTGGAAGATTTCCAATTCTATTTGCCCTCAGGTCTAGCCTGACGAGTTGAAGGAACGTCAGTTCGACGGGAACGCAGAGCAGCAGATTCGCACGAAGGATCAGTGACTGCAATTGACTCAGTTCGCCCATTCTCGGTGGAAGATGCGTAAGTTGGTTGCAGGAAGCGTCCAGTTCAGTCAATTGATTCATTCGGCACATTTCGTCCGGAAGTGATGTCAGTCTATTGTTGGATACCAGAAGTATCTAACAGCAAAAAAAAACATAAGTATATACCAGTTATTGAAAGGTAACACAACTAATATTGATAGAAATAAAAACAAATATATTAATCTGTGGATGTATACAATATTAAATATTTCAATGTATTTTTATAATTTGAAAATACATTTATATTACAGTATGAAAACAAACAAATAAATCTAATAATCCGCGAATATTGATAAAATAAAAATTCATATGCTTATAACATCATATCAATCATAATAATAAACGATAATTTGACGTTTCAGATTATAAGTTCAAAAATAAGTTTAATAAAACTATTTAGTTAAATTATGTTTTGTAAGTTCGACGAATTTAAACCGAAAATAGACGCATTAATGTTTAGTCGTTTACCAAGTTCAATGTGAATATTAAGTGTAACTACAGTTGTAAAACCGGCCATTAAAAGGGTTATGACCATTATATGACCATTTATACACGTGTTAGTTTCTAATTATAATCATTTAACAAGACAAAAGGTGTAAATTTTTCAGGTTTTACATCAATACTTCAGATATATAAATATATATTGCGTAAGTTTATTTTCCTTTATATTTCAAAATTCGAGTAATAATGATGATAAAGTACAGATGATCTACTGGTTAGGAAATGCGCTATTATTATTACAAGTTCTTTGGTATTAAGCAGATTATTGATGGGTTTTGTGGGACCTCATAATATGTCGAGGCTTGCATATCACTGCGGTAAAAACGTGGTCGGAATATTATTGATCTCAGGACGAAAATATAACGGAATTGGCTTTTACCTGTATTGGTAATTGGCATATTTCCCTGGGCAAGGAAGTAAGTTGATTTCGGCTCAAATCCAGATAACTCAGGGACTGAAGACTGCCAACGCTCTCGGGAATATACCTAATGGCATTGTGGTAACAATGCAATCTCTCGAGGAAGAAGAAAGTAGTCACCTCTTCTGGTAGCTCGCTGAATCTGTTCTTCGAAAGATCTGAAACCAAAAAAAAAACTTGTATAGATTGAACAAAGTACAATTATAAAACAAGGAAGTTGTAAGTAATTAAGTAAATTGAATCAATACAAAAATGGGTCATGCTTGAAACCTACAGGGAATCATTATGGAAATAGCATAGAGTGCATATCCAGGTAAAGCTCACGGCATTCACACTAAATGTCACATATTGTATGGAAGTTTTTTTTTAAATTTTTTACTGCAAGTTTAAAAATAGTGACAATTAAATACATATTAAAATTGAGAAAAACAATTAAGCCTTCACGTACATATCATTAGTTCTAAATTGCAGTGTATCCTGTAATTTGTATAGCAACTTAAAAATAAAACTTGCTTCGTGTTCTTTCTGAAAACACTTTCTCGTTTAGTTTAATTGTTTTGGCAGATGGCATACACATGTTATCTCGTATTGGAAAATGTATAACGTATGGAATGTTTTTCTTTCTCTCGTTTTATATCATTTTTTTAACAGCAACAAAGAAACGCGCTCTATCCTGAGATTGTTTAAAGTACGTTTGTATAAATATAACTAACGTTGCCGATTCCGTTTTCATTTTTTTTTTTCGAACATTATTTCATCGTTCGTTCTCTGCTTGAATAAAGATCGAGACGTGGAACCTGAATAGTCTCGCAGTCCTCGATACGATAACATGACCATATGTGGAATAATTAGAATCATTACAAAATGCGTATTAAATATAAACTATTTAAGAGGCACAGCAATTCCTCGTGGTTATTAATCATAATCAACGTTGAAAATTTTCACAATTAAAGTCACGTATGCATGACATAAACATTTTTACACTCAGTAAGTGACATTCGATAAGTTGGAATAGGTTGGCTAGAAATTATAAGCAGTAGCTTCTTCAACTACCATAATATTTACCTATGAATCGGCTTAGTTGAATTAATCAGAAGTAGAAGCAAGTTATAAGGATTATTTAGTTTTGCGAGTTGATAATTCAGTTGGAACTAGTAATATACTATAACTTGATGTGAAAGCATTGAAACGTTGCAGTACAGCATCCAGAACTTATGTCGTAGGAGGTTCCATGGTCAGCAACTTGAGTCGAGACGATTTAAATCCAGATAGAAAAGTTAATACAATTCCATGACAATTTTTAGAATTTGTATAAATTATAATATTTCATTACATAAATAACCATTCTTTAATATTTATTGAAAAAAGTTATTCAATCGAATTTATTTATTTCAACCATTGGCAAAAAGATAAGTTCAATTTTCTTTTGTTATCGTAATAAACTCTTGTAAAAGCCGAAGAAGTTCTTGTAACTATTTATACAAAGAAAGAGATCTATCTCTTGCTTCAGCATCAAGATTAATTAATAGATGAAATTGTGATCAAGTATATCACATACTTTTAATAGTCATTGCGTGAAGAGTTTGTAATACTCACTTCTAAACATATTTCACAGATATCTCGATGTTTTTATATCTAAATTCAAATAGAATTAATATTATTGATGATAAATTAATATTAATAGTAAAATAATGTTAAACTGTAACTTTCAAGATTTTTATGAAATAACGGATTTTATTTAAATTTTATTTTATTTAAATAACGGATTGTATTGGAAAGCAAATATGAATAAAATACTTCAAGGATTATTTCATCAAGATCTTGCACAATCGTATCCATTGATGAGTCAAATGCGCAATGAGCAAACAAGCAGGTAATTGTGTGTCGTTCTACGATTGCGATTTGCTATGCAGAAAGAAGCGCTCAGATATAGCTGGTTTTCTGTGTTTGGGGTGTGATTGCTGTCTAAAAATACGCGACAGAAATAGCCGTTGATTTATAACAGGAAACCGGAGGGGTGCGGAAAAAAATATCAAAAGAAAAGAACTTCAATTATACGATATAGGCACGATAAGATATAGGTCATCGGATTGCGCTAGCGGAATTGCGTAACCTTTGAACTTGCCATAGAGTCAAGGAGACGAAGAAGAAGAGGAGGAAGAAAAAAAATAATAATTTCATGTTTTTTTTTTCGCCGCGATTCAAGTGGAGGTTGAATAAACGCATTACGTTTCATATCCTATGGCACGGATTTTGCACAACGTCGGCCGCAGGCAGCATCCAAACACACACACACCACAAGATGCTGCTGCATCTAATTATAGTTTGCAATCACTGAAAAATAAATAGACTGGAATATACTGCCTTGCAGTTTCTTATTTACATGTTCCGAGTTCCAATTTGTTTCTGCTCTCTCACTTATTTCGCTCTCTGCACCGAGGAATGATGCGAGCTTCTTTGGTATTCTAACCTGACGGTCTTCGCATCTTCTGCCAAAGCACGTCTCACCTAATCATTGTTTTCCTAAATGACGTACCGTAATTAGATTTCCGATGGATGCGCGATATTCGACGGAGCAAGCAAACCCGCAGGGTAATGCAGGCGTTTCGTAATTACTCTAACTGGGAAAATGCAATCACGGAGAGCTACATTTTATTTTCCGATCGTTCTTGTTTAATTTTAACAGAAGTATGTGTTTTTGAACTGCAACTGACCAAAGCGTAACACTGTTAAATTCACTTCCGGGTTTAACTTTTTTTTTCTATTTCACGGGTGGTGAGTATTTAGGCCGTTATGACCGGTACATTCATTATAAGCGCTGTTTTCACGATTCAAATAAATTTCAGTTATATTTCAGCAAATTTAATTCTTATAAATTACCAAATAACAATAAACTATTTTCTTCTATGAAATTATAACTTATTTTAAGATATATAAACATTTTAATAAATTGTGATAATTTCCTACACGTTAGTTAAGAATGCTGACGATTCTATCTGAAAGTTTCAATAACTATACACAAATTATTATAATTTCCCCAGTTTCTGGCAGAAAAATTATCGTTTGGATTTAAACGTTTCTAGAACAAAACAAAATTTGTAATTGTAAACATGTGTTGATGATTAAAAAAATGCCATCTGCTTAACGGTTAATGAAATAATTTTAGATAAATCAAGCATATAATAAAATATATATTAAAAAAAAGTATAATTTATTATGATCTCCTGTACATTATATAATAGTTAATTATAAATTATGTGAAAGAAAGAAATAGATTTTGTATACAGTTGATTGCATATGAATGAAAAAAATGTAATTATAAGCATGTGTCTTTGATTTTAAAATCCATCTGTATAAAGACTAATGTAACATTATTACAGTTTACTCTCATCCAAATGAAATAAGTTTGTGTTCTTAACCATAGAAAAAAACTAAATAATCTGCTTGGGTAAAACATTTCTTTTTTTAAATAAAACTATGAAAGAAAAAACCAAATGGCTTCCACAGAGCTTATACTGAGAGCAAATACTTCTGTTGAAACAAAATTTCATAAAATTCATTGTAAATATTATTGATCACAATTGATATTTGAAAGAAAAAACAATTTTTCTCATGACGTACTCGATATTCATAATAACGTACACATCGGTCTTGGACATATATTATAATTTTATTGCAATTATTAATTTTATCTTAAACTGATATTTATAAACAAGATCCTCATTCTGTCTAAAATTAAATCGGCCCATATTGGTCAAGTGACATATTTCTATGTTCGTATAGATATTTGTACGTTAGTTTGATCAAATGACCGTAAATAGTCATACATATTAATTAACATTGAATTTCCTCAAGGAATAAAATAAATGTATCTTATAATATAGAAGCTCTATGAAAAGGAGTGTTCAAGAGGTTCAACGAAGATTGTATTCTTTCATTGTGTTTTGTCATAATGCATTGATCCGCCCACGCACCTGAGCAAAAAACTGTGTAAAGCGCATTATCCTAGACGATGTTATCTGTGGAGCCAATCTTTATGCCCATTATAAATTCAATTTCATTTTTCTTCTTTCTTTTCACGAGGACGAAAAACTGGTCGGTCGAAACTCATTCCCACTAGTAGAATACAGCCTTTTGCCGAACGCTTTTACAAAGCGAATTATTTCCATAATGGAAAGTGAAGTATTATTGCGATGAATTTCGCGTTCGTCTGATTTCACCACGTGTGATTCATCGATCGCATGTTGGGGAAAAAGGTTTTCGGCAGGGGTTTGTTTTGAAAAAGGACTCTTGTTTGCTTCTATCTCCGTGCGTTCGGTTTTCGGCTTAAAAGAATGCATTCAGTCTGTATGTGGGGGAAATTCGTGTAGGTTAGGGCCACGAATCGTATCGATCTAAACTGAAATCCCCCTAAAATTTAGGGGTCCACGAAAATAATTGGAATAGGAACTTGATGAAGTCATTCAGCAGATATAGCGACAAGCCTCCAGGAGCTTTTACAATAGAACAGAAAACATTCGCGTTGAGCATAGCTCGTAAATTTTTATTAATCCCGGACAAGGCAATACGTTTCAACCCTCGAATGTGCCAGATAAACTACATTCGGAAGATTATTGTGCATGTTAAAATACCGTTTTTAATACGGGGTGGTAGATGCTAATAGTTTCCGTTTTACTATTTTTAGTTTTTCTCGACCTTCGACCGAAAACACTTAGCCTTGACTTTCTTGGAAAACAGAATTTTTATATTTGCTTTATGTTATTTTAGTCTAAACTAGTAACTCTAGTTTAAGACAAATTAAATTTACTTGTCTACATTACTTCACATTATCTAAACGCTATATTTAATCAACATTGTAATTTCATTATGGATCAAGAGGAAATATTGATAATTCGTACTTCCGATGAACAGTTCTAAAACAGGATATTTATATATATTTAATAAGTAAATACATATAACAAATACATTACATGTTTAATAGTAGCTGTAGATTTGAAAATTTCATAGAAATATAGCTCGTTATTTATAATTATTCAAAGAATTGTCTATTGTCCTTTGTTTCTCTTTCAAAGAAAAGTAATTTCCTCTTGTCTAATTCTACTGTTGTGTATTTATACTGTTTTCTATACTTTTTATTCTATCATTGAATTAATTGAAA